TCTTTATAACCACGACATTCGCTAGCCATTCAGGGTAGTGGACTTCTTTGATCATACCATTGCTCAGGAGCTTCTTGACCTCTTCGTTAACAATTCGGTTATGCTCTGGTGCAAATTTCCTTCTCTTCTGTTTCACTGGTGGGTGATCTGGGTCTACCTTGAGCTGGTGGACCATTGCTTCTGGACTGATTCCGATCATGTCGGCGTGCGACCAGGCGAAACAATCTTGGTTCTGTTTGAGGAATTCTATCAGCTTTTCTTTGGTCTCGGGCTTGAGGCGGGACCTTATATGTGTCTTTCTGTTAGGATCGTTCGGATGTATCTGTACTTCATCCAACTCTTCCATAGATGGTTGATCCGGCTCGGTCGGTGGGGTTGGATAAATCTGTAATTGCTACGAAGAATTACCCTTGCCTTTGAAAGTATTCTTGTAGCAATCCTTGTAAGTTTTAGGGTCACCGTTGATCTCTCGTACCCCCCATTTGGTTGGAAATTTGATCGTCTGGTGGAGGGTAGATGGGACTGCCCGCATGTTGTGGATCCAAGGTCGGCCCAAGATGATGTTGTATGGCAAGGGGCAGTCGATTACCAGAAAAATGGTCTGTTTGTTCACTCCTCCACGTAGATAGGGGGGATGATCTCCTCGATAGTGTACTTCTGCTCAGAGCTGAAGCTAACTAGTAGCGTCGGCTGCCTATTGATGTTTGCCTCTTCCAATCCCATAGCCTTCACTATTTCAAGGAATAAGATGTTTGTCGAAGAGCCTCCATCTACAAATACTCTTTTCACTAGGATGTTGGCGACTTGTAAGGAGATGACTAGGGCATCGTGGTGAGAAGCGGTCAAGGTGACCGGCTCATCATCTTCGAATTGAATTACCTGATGAGTGTGTGACAGTGAGGCCGGATGGATGGACTGGACTGGACTTCATGGTGGCGGTTGGCTCTGGTATATCGCTTGGCTGATGAGTAACTTACCCCACTGATCTTTGATCCTCCCGAGATGAGCGGACAAAAACCTTTCGGTGTAGGTTCTCGTGGAGGTGGTGATGGTTCTTTTGACCTCTTATGGCTAATGGTGTTCTTCTCCTTATCAGTTAGCAGATCTCGGAGGTGTCCCCTCTTTAGAAGTGCAGCGACCTCTAGTCGTAAAGTGATGCAGTCTGCAGTGTTGTGCCCATGATCACCGTGGAACTCACACCATTTGGTCTTGTCTCTCCTTGCCTGGGGATTGAGCTTGCCTGGCCACTTAACGGTGGATCCCATTCCTTTCATAATCACAACCACCTGGGTTGGCTCGACATTGAGGTTGTACTCTGGTATTTTGTACCAGTTCAATCCGAACTGTCTGCTCTCGGTTCTTGTTGGTTGACGATCATACGGTTTCTTGACTCTGCTCGAATTGTATGCTGGGGGTTGGCCTATGCTCTGGTTTCTTGTCATCTCGCCTTGAATCGTATCTGGAGTGAATCATTCGGTTTATCTCATCCTCCTCTCATCTTATTTGGATCACTGCCCGGGCCAGGGCGTCTTCCATTGTTGTGCATCCCAGCTTTGTAAGTTCTTTGTATAGCTCTCCGTCCAGGAGGAGACCCTTCTTGAAGGCATCTATGGCTGTCTCAGGGTTGCATGCTGGGATGGAAATCTTCTCTTTGTTAAACCTGCTGACATACTCTCTCAATGGCTCGCCCCTTCTCTGGTATACTCTGTACAAGTTGGCTGACAGCTTCTCGAGTTTCTTACTGCTAGCGAACTGTTCCACAAACGTGTTAGTGAGTTGAGCGAATGAATCGATGGATCCGTTCGGGAGGTTCGTGTACCATTGTAATGCTAGGCCGGATAAGCTCGAACCAAAACTTTTGCACATGCAGGCTTCCCTAAGTGGTCGGGGTATTGAGACGGTGAACATCCGCTGCTTGTACGAGGCTATGTGATCATCCAGATCGGTTGTATCGTCGTACATTTTCATGTTGGGGATAGTGAACTTCTGAGGCATGTCGGCTAGGGCGATCTCATCCACGAAGGGTGAATCCGCGTAACAATGGGGCCTGCTCTTCTTGGTTGGGACCGACATTCCTGGAATGCGTCGCATCACTGCTTTCACATCGGCTAATCTCTTGGCTAGTACCTGTTCCATAGGAGAAGGGGACGCCACTAGGTCATCCCGCATGACCAGGTCAGCCTTTACATTTAACTTTGGTACATTCTATTGGGTCACCCCTCTTGGGGTAGTCTGACGAGTCCCTTCGTGCGTTCCCTGATAGCATAGATCTTCGGTCATTCCTTCCGGTTGGATGACTCCCATGGTAATTGTTTTGGTGTTTCGCCCTACATGGATGGTCAGGGGAGTCCTCTGATAGTCATTCGGTTGGTCAGGATGGATGGGCTCGGGTGCTATTGGTTTAGTTTTGCCGTTCATCCCACGAGGATGAGCCGAGCCGAGTCGAGCCGAGTATGTGTTGGGATGGTTAGATTGAGCTGGTCTTGTGGATGAGGGCTTTCTACCACCGGATCGTCTTGGTCTTGATGCTGGGATGAATCGGCTGATTGATGTTCAACAGGCATATCTTTATCTCCATGAATTAGGACAGAATCATCGACCGCAGACTGGTTTAAGGGACACAGCCTTTTGCCAGAGGCGAGGATCGAGTCTCCGACGTAAGGAGAGGTTGCATGGACGGAACAGGGGTGCGGAACCAATTGGGGGGTGCCTTGCCAGGCAGGAACTCTAGGTCATAGAATTGACTCACCTTCTCCTTGAGGGATTGGTTTTCTGACCTGATGGACGCATTTTCCGTCTAGATCGCATTGTTCTCAGCTTCCAATGCAGCCACCTTGTCCAAGTTCTATTGCATGAGAGCGGTTATAGCTTCCAATTTGGCCTCGAGGCCGGGATTAGCGTTATCGGAGTTTTCAGCCATGGAAAGTTCCTCTATGCAGCAGGGTTCGTTGAGCCGAATGATTGCTAGAGGCCCCACGGTGGGCACCAAACTGTAGACGTAAAAATCTACCTGTACGGAAAGGGGGTTTGATCCTGTGAGGTTGATGCCACTAGCGATCTGTTGTACCTGCACACGTAGAAAAACAAACGCGTGAAGCGAACGGCAAACACCAGGGTGGTGTTTGCCATAGGCACTCCGATGCTCAAGTCAACAAGGTTGAAAGAGGCTAGTATAGTGAGGGCTAGGGAGTAAAGTGGTTACCAGAAGTCTAGTCGGAGACTGTGACTACGGCGGTGATGTAAAGCTCTCAATTAGGAGCTTCGGGTGTGAAGGTGTAATGTAATGTGTCCTTTGTGAGAGGGATGGCCTCTGTTTATATAATGACTGTCTGGTCTCCCAATCCTGGTGGGAGTAGGAGTCCTAATGTGACTCTGATGCAAACCCTAGAAGAATTAGGGTCGTGGTAAGCTGTCTTACCAGTGTCCGGATAGGAAGGTGATTCTGATAAGGAAAGTAACTTCGAGTAGGAAAGTGTTATGAATAGGAAAATGACTTCAAGTAGGAGATTGATCAGGAACAGGAATATGATCAGTGGGCCGTGGGCTCGGAACTCGCCTATAGGCCCAGTAAGTGAACTGGGACTGGGAGGCCCGTGCCCAGATGGTTTGGGCAGGCCGTATCTTGTATCGAATGGGACTAATCTGGCTTGGGCCTCTTTGGGATTTAGGCCTGGTCTTCTCTTCACAAATGGTCCTGCTTTCCTATTTGGGCCGAGGACGATTTTTGGCCCTAACAATGCCAAAAATAAAAGATCATTAATGAACCGCTTCATAATAGAGAATGGATTTTATGATTTCATGGTTACACAAAAATGAAGGGAAAAGTTGGATCAAATTACTTTAAAATGGTTACTATAAGAAAACAAAAAATTAATCACTATTTTTTTTTTTGGGTCTAATTGTATCTGTAAAGATTCTCATCCTTGATAGGTTCAAAAATAGAGATCTCTTTCGTGTTGTTTAATTTATCTTTTATAAATATGGTAGAGCTTTTATAAAATATTTGTACATATATATGCTATTATTCATAAATATCAAGCGGAATGGATTATCCTGTTGAGCTATACGCAAGGCGAGCTTTTGAGAATAATATTTATAAAAAAAAAAAAAAAAAAAAAAAAAAAAAAAAAAAAAAAAAAAAAAAAAAAAAAAAAGAACAAACCCTTAATTATAATGTGTAACAAAACTTCTTAGTACCAATACTAATAATAAGCATTTTTTTTTTTTATTTGTAAAATTTTTTTGTCATTTGACTCTTTCAACGGTAATATCAAATATATCCCTTTAGTTTTTGTTTATTTTTTCTAAGTCATCATATTATTATATATTATTTATATATGTTTTACTTAGATTTTGATGAAGAATGAGATCAGCTTTTACTTTTTGAAGCGTTATAAGGTATCTTTTTTTACAATAATGTTAAACGTAAAAAAAATAAAATGACAAAGATTTCTTATAAATTATTTTCTACAAACTAATATAGCGACTTTGCATGTTTGATATGTGATCTCTTTCACTTATTTAATGTCTTTTTAATTCAAAATCATTCAATTATCTTAAGACCCGTTATCTGTACAAGAGAGTTAATATAAAAGTGTATACCTAAAGTATCATCAATTTCTTATATTATGTTTCTGTAAAATATTATATACCGTCAAAGTTTGCAAAAGAAATACATTTTTTCATTAAATATTAAATATGTTTGTCTCAAAATAATGCAGCTCAAGTTAAAAAATAAATAAATAAATAAATAAATAAATAAATAAATAAATAAATAAACATATTTTTGATCACTAGTGTCTATCTAACAAGAATTTCTTTGGTATCACGGTAGTGTTACTGATGTGGTACCACAAGCCAATATCCATGTCCATGTTAAGTAATTGTTGCTTTAACTAATCACCAATCACAAAATCAATCTTAAGATAAATGATCAGTGGGAACAAGTAATTCAATAAATTGGGAAAATAAATAATGTGTAATACGATGGCAAAGTGGTATTCTAGATTTTCCCAAGTTTGACATCTATTAAAACCCAACCTTACAAAACAAAACCTAAACAAACCATACAATATAAGGATATGCATTTTCAATAGATAAAGTTGAATCTAACAGCCAGCACACCACAAAAAAGATAAGTTCACCATTGATATTACTGTCGCTAATACTGTAATTAGAGTTCACATCTTGGTTTGTTCCAAGCTTCCCATTCTTACTTGCCCCCGCCCGTAAAATGTAGGCAGCCGTTCCCGGACAAATAAAATGAATGGTATAGAAAATGCTACCAATTCAATTCCATAGAGTACTGTGTGAAACAAATACCATGTAACTGAACCAGCCCGGAAGGGAGTGGTTTCTGTCACGGAAAGACCATACGCCCACACGATCAAAGTTGTGGATAAGGCAACGATTTTGGAAAAGCGGAGCCCAACTGTGACAGTAAGAATTGTGCACACAGACGTAGCAAAAGCCACGGTATTAAATAGCAAGAAACTTAAATGGTGTAACGACCCCTGAATCGTATGCCCTGCATGATGTTCTGAAACTATAAAATTCTTGCTGCTGTTGGTTGTGGTGTTACTGAAAACAGTACTGTTGTTGTTTCTTGGCGCCTCGCCTTCATCTTGCCAAAGTCCTCCTGGGGGACTGAGTGAAGCTTGGTAGGTGGCCGTCGCAGTCAATATAGCCACCACAAGTACTACGTTTTGGACTTCAAGAGGAACTCTATTTATGATTCGGTCCCCAAGCCTAACATGTTTCAAAAATACTTCCGTAGTTGCTAATTTCCCACATAAGTAGTCGACAAGTGAATGTTTAAAACCGAAGAAAGCTTCAATTAAATCTCTTTCAAATTTTTCTGTACGGTTAAGCCGAGGATTGGGGTGTTGGGATGCTCTTTTAGCTTTAGCACGACGTAGAATTCTCCCAATTTCTGCATCCAGCGAATCTCCGTGATTGTGAAATACGTCCAAAGCTGTCGAACCTTTACTGTTCTTTCTATTTACATCCATATATCTAATCAACACCTTCACCATCTTCATTATCCAGAAGATAAAGGAAAACTTAGAAGCTAATTATGTAAAGAAAATGAGAAGGCAAAGAGCCTGCAGTTAAAGACATATAGAACGTTTTACCTCTGGTTGATTTTCAGATATTGCAGTACACAACGCATTGTTTCCTTCTTCGTCCTCCAATCTTAGGATCTCTTCCTTGTCGAAGTGTTGAAGCCATCCTAACAAGACTTCTAAAGCTCTAGAACTCCTGTTTTTGAGGGCCACATGAACAGCAGTTTCACATTTAACTGTCAAATCTTTTATTGACGATGGACAAACATACAAAAAATTAGCCAAGTTTGTTTCATCATCAATTTTAGCTGCATAGTGCAAAGGAGTAACCATCCCCATTGCTTTGACACGGACGAGTTCACGGTCGATAGTTACGAACCATGTTACCAGTTCCTGGTGCCCACTCTCCAAAGCCAAATGAAGAGGGCTACGCCCAAGATGGTCTTGCTTCGAAGCAAATGATGGCTTTAAGTTTACCATTTCCTTGGCGAAATGGATATTTCCCTCGCTTACGGCTGTGTGTAAGGGAGTAGTCACAAATGGTATCTCATCAATACGCTCCAAAACGTATGGATCCTCCACAAGTATTGAAAACAATGCATCCACATCTCCTTCTACGGCAGAATTCTGCAGCCTCTGAAACCTTTCATCCATACCTTAGGTGGCTGATTTACACCTGTTTTACAATATTGCTGCCGATTATAGAAGTTAAAATAACAATTTTTGTACAGGAAAGAACATATCAACTTTCATTTGTCATTTTTATGCGAAAACTAGAACTTGTGAATCAAGAAAATTAGAACAGATCATATATTTGACATCCATAGGTAAATTTTTTTTTTTTTTTTTTTTTTTTATCTGAGGATATTTAGGCCAACTTGTAGCACCTTAACTTGTCCTTTAGACCTTGAAGTTAACGACCGGACAAACTTTCAGTGGTTACCCCTTATTGGTAGTTATGGAGATTCGAACTTAAACCTATTGAATAATACATCCAAGAGTTCCAAGCAAACCACCAAACTACTTAGAGGTAATTCCTTAGAGTAATGTTCTGGTAAAGAAAAGTAATTTTAACCTCATTAATTACTTTTTAAGTATTATATATATTTTCTTTAATTTTCCTTAACTTTTTACTTTTTTTTAATTATTTCAATTATTAAGTATTATATTTTCTTTCTTACCACCATTTGTTTCCTTTTCCTTTTCTTGCTTATAACAATAAATTTCAATCTCATTTATTAATTCTAAGTATTTTGTTTTCTCTCTCACCAGTCACCACCATTTTTTTTCCTTTTATTCAAACTAATTATCTCTAATTTTTAAGTATTTTATTTTCTCTCTCTGATTACCACCATTTCTTATTTTTTTTTTTTTTTATTGTTTTTTTCCCCAAAGCAATTTTGGAAAGACTAAAGAGGGTCTATGCTATGCTTTTTTCATGTGCATTAGAACAATAGTGGACTCAAAAACTAAAGAAAAGGGGCATGTGCCCCCTCAACTTTTGATTTTTGAAATTTTTTCTTATATTATAACTCCATATTAGATATGTTTCTCTGTATTAAATATTTACTTATTTTTGAATTCTCAATATTGAGAAATATCCCATAATTTTATTCTAAATAATGTGTTATCATATTTGATTTTATTATATCTTTACAAATCATTCTTTATTAACATGTTAACACCACGTAATATAACAAATCATTCAAACAAAAATTCAGAGCCGTTCATTATAATTTTACATATAATTTCTAGCTGAATAATGCTACATATCAAGAGATATCTCCGAATTTTTGTTCGAATGATTTGTTATATTATGTGGTGTTAACATGTAAATAATAGAAATAAAGAGCTGATGAAAAGATAGAGTTCAAGGCCTTGCTTTGTCCCAACATTTATATACTTTTTTTTATTCAATATAAATAGAATATATAAAGGTGTTAAAGAACATTGTATATTTCATTTTAGAATCTTTAAAGAGGTCAGTAAGCGAATAAGTTTTTATTTTTTTTTTATATAAAAAATGTAGGGGTTAAGCTTGTTGTCTGCCATTATGTTTTTTTTTTTTTTTTGTTAAATTGAACTTGATAACATATAATATAAAACTAAAAGTTAAAGATATAATCTTCCTAAATACTTTAATTATTCTTCAGGGTTTTGTAAAGTAATGCTTGCACATGAATCACGATTGTTCATTTATTTTTGAAAAACAACAATTTCATACAATTTCTTGGAAGTCTAAAATAGAGATTGATGCCACAAATAAGAAGATTATTAAAGAATCAATTTACGATAGAATGAGTTTTTATGATTGAATAATACCACATCTATAAACCTTTCATATTAATTCATCTATACAAACTGATGTGTTAAACAATTAGAGTATATGATATGTCAAACAAAGTTATCACATCAGTTTGTAAAGAATGGTTTGTATACGTAGTATTACTTCTTATGATTTAATGGTTAAAAGAATTTATAAGAGAATTCATTAAGGATTGATCAAAAATACTTTAAAAGAATGCTCATCTCTAAATACCATCTCTGGTTATCCAATGCCAAGATTAGGTAGGAAATACCACATCTCATCTTTAAGGACAGCTATTCCTACGCCATCTTTTCTTTGATGCTTTCCATTCTTAGCAAGCTTACTAAAAACCGGACTACGCTTTGACATAGTCAAGGGCTTAGCTCCTGAGTTGATTGGTTCGATCGGTCAGACCGATCAATTGGACCGGTGACTTCAGTAACACAAATATCTTAAAAAATTATAAATTAGTCCCTAAAAATTGATTATCCCTAAAAATTATAAAGTCCCTAAAATTTTAAGATATTACAAAAATGCCCCAAAAATTTTAGTTAGTCCCTAAAGTTTTGAAATATTGTCAACACCCTTAGAAGATTACCAATTAGTCCCTACATGTTTGAAATCTAGTAAAAACCCCCCTCAAACCTGAACCAGGCTAGAGACGCTACCTATTCCCGGTCGGATCGATTAGTTTGGTCCAGATTTCAAAACACTGATTCTTAGTGTTAGTGGTGTATTTTTTTTTTTTTTTTTTTTTTTTTTTTGGAACAAACAATGCGTGTGTATAACTCAAGCCAACCTTACCAACAACACTTTCCTTAAAAGGATTATACATAATATAAAATATGCATTTTCAAAAGATAAAGTGACACAACACTACAAGAATACTTCTGTTCTATCTGTCCTCACCATCTCAGTATAATTATACAAGCCTCAAATCCATTAAAACAAAGAAGATAAAGTTCACCAATCACCATGAATATTACAGCTGAAGAATTAAATGTTAAAGTAGCCTCACATACTCCAAACAATTCACATCTTTGGTTGCTCCAAGCTTCCCATACTTACTTGCTCCCGCCCGTAAAATTTAAGCAGCTTCTCTCGGATAAATAAAAACAAAGGAATGACATATGCTACAAACCCAACTATAAACATGAATGGGTAAAACAAGTACCACGAAACTGAACCAATCTGGAAGGGAGCGGTTTCTGTCAGGGCTATGCAATATGCAATCACCATCAAAGTTGTGGATAGGGCAACGATTTTGGAAAACCGGAGCCCAATTGTGACAATAAGAATGGTGCACACAGACGTAGCAAAAGCCACGGTATTACAGTGCAAGAAATCTAAACGATAAATAGACCCCAGAACCATGTGACCTGCAAGATGTTGTGATCGCTCTTTCATAGTAAACTTTGAGTAGGAACCTAAAAAATTATTATTGTTGTTGTTGTTCCTTGGAGCCTTGCCTTGATCATCATCTTGCCAGAATCCTCCTGGGGGGACGAGTGCAGCTTGATAGGTGGCCGTCGCGGTCAATATAGCCACCACAAGTACCACGTTTTGGACTTTAAGAGGAACTCTATTTATGATTCGGTCACCAACCATCATATTTTTCATTATTTTTTCCACAATTGGTAATTTCTCGCGTAAGTAGTCGACCAGTGAGCTGTGATAACCGAAGAACATGGCAGTGATATTAGTTTCAAATTTTTCTCTATAGTTAAGCCGAGGATCGGGGTGTTGGGATGCTCTTTTAGCTTTAGCACAAAGTAGAATTCTCTCAACTTCTGCATTCAGCGAATCTCGGCGATCGTGAAAAATGTCCAAAGCTGTCCAACCTTTACTGTTTTTTCTATTTACATCCAGATATCTAATCAACAGCTTCACCATCTTCATTATCCAGAAGATAAAGGACAAGTTAGGAGCCAATTATGTCAAGAAAATGAGGACATAATTAAAAGCCTGCAGTTAAATACAATAAGACATGTCAAATGCTTACCTCAGGTTGATTTTCAGATATTGCAGTATACAAAGCATTGTTTCCTTCTTCGTCCTCCCACCTTAGGATCTCTTCTTGATCGAAGTGTCGAAGCCATCCTAGCAAGACTTTAAAAGCCTTAAAACTTCTGCTTTTGAGGGCTACATGGACAGCAGTTTCACTTTTAGCTGTCAAATCTTTGATGGATGATGGACAAACATACAAAAAATCGGCCAAATTTTTTTCATCATCAATTTGAGCTGCGTAGTGCAAAGGAGTGAGCATCCCCTTTCCTTTGACACGGACGAGATCACTGTCAGATGTTATCAACCATGTTACCAGTTCCCCGTGCCCCTTCTCCAAAGCCAAATGAAGGGGACTACGTTCGAGATGATCACGCTTCGAAGCAAATGATGGCTGTAAGTTTACAATTTCCTTGGCGAAATGGATCTTTTCCCCGCTTACAGCTGTGTGTAAGGGAGTACTCGCCCAGGGCATCCCATCAATACGCTCCAAAACAAATGGATCCTCCGCAAGTATTGAAAAGAATGTATCAACATCTCCTTCTGCAGCAGAATTCTGCAGCCTCTGCAACCTCTCATCCATAACTCAGGAGGCTGATTGACACCTTTTTTACAGTTTTGCTTCTTATAATGAAAATAACATCAGCCTTGAAAAAGGAAAAAAAAAATTGGGAAATATTTCTTATCAAGCTATACATCAAGAAAATAAAATTTGCCCTTCATTTGATACTTAGTTACCTCTAGTATTTTATTTTCCCTCTCAACACCATTTTGTTTTCCTTTTTCTTCTTTTAATGCGTAATTTCAACTTTTATGTATTTTTTTTTCTCCCTCACCACCATTTCTTTCTATTTTCTTATTATTATTATTATTATTTTTTATAAAGCAGCTTGGGAAAAAAAACAGAAGGGGGTCTATGCTTTGCTTTTTCTCAAGCGGATAACAATAATGAACCAATACATACAGAAACAAGGGGGCATGTGTCCCCTCAACTTTTATTTTTTTTATGAAAATTTTCTTATATGTAGCTTTATATTATATATTGGTGGCTTATGTGTACTTGATTTAAGAGCTTTTTACCTTATTTTTAATTATTTAATATTTTCCAATATATAACTTATCATCTGCCACTATCATTTAAATAAATAAAAAATTGATAAAATAAAATACTTAAAAGTTAAAGATATTACAGTATCTTCCTAAATACTGAAATACGATGGGTACCATTGTTTTTTAATTATTTTAATTTCACGGTTTTGTAAAATTAAATAAAGCTTGCACATAAATCAGGATTGTTTATTTATTTTTAAACGATAACAATTTGATGTAATTTCTCAACCGTAAAGTTTAAAAAAAATCAATGGATTAAAAAATTATAATTACAATAATCATTAATAATCAACTTATCAATTTAATGTCTAAAATTATGAATCTCGCTTATCCACATTAATTAAGATTTTATTCTGGCGAATTAATATTTAAAACTAAAACTCTTTAAAATAATCATACACCACAAGATATTCAACTCTCTCAGAGAGGACTTATCCCACCAGAACTGCCGTGATACACCACATTTGGCTATGGCGTCATCGGTCTCCGGTGACAACTCGCAGCCGATTTTCAACTGTGTGTCTCACAATCATCATATTATAATATATTGATAATTAAAAAAAAAAAATTGTCGGGTGCGTTTGGTTTATTATTTTGGATAGGATTTTAGGGATAGTATTGGATAGTTGGATAGGGGAGTATTACGAGAAAAAATTTAAAAATTTATCCAAAAGTCCCCAAGGTTTGCTAATTTAATAAACACCCTAATATATTAAAATATTATAAAATGACAAAAACACCCCTACTACTCGCAGTGCCAAATTCTGGCCACCACCGCCAGAATCTGACCAAAAAATTGGATAACCACTCATACCGGTCGGATCTACCGGGTATTCGATCGATATGGCCTTTTTCGGCCATATCCACCACGGATTTGGCCGAAAAAGGCCAGATCTAAGGCCGAATGTGGCCTTCGACGGTCGGAAAAGGCAAAGACGGCCAAAGATATGACCGTCGTTGTCTGTCAACGATGGCCAAGATTTGGCCGTCAAATCTGGCATTTTCCGGTCAGATCTGGCCATTACCGGCCACTTCCGGTGGTCGTGTGACCGTTGTGATAGATTCCAGCAACCACCAGCGATGGTTGCTAGAATTTGACAAGTATTGGTGGGTGGGTTGGCTTTGTTAGTTTTTAAACTTTTTTTCTGGGGGTTATTTATGAAATTAATAAACTTATGGAGTCTAAAAGTAATTAAAAAAATAGACTAATATTTTGGGAATAACGTGCCAAACAACATTTGAAGAATAGAATTTGGAATATGGATAAAAACAATAAGCTAAACGCACCCGTCTATATTTTAAAACTAAAAATATAAACTATGTACCTGTTGATCCACCCCATGCTCTAGGCAAAAGCCCAAAATAAATAAACAAATAAGCGTAATGTCACGCACTTAACTTCTTTGCTAAGTTCGTGCGGCCTTAACCCTTCGGAAATGAGTTAAGCAGCCTAACGCTCACACAACTAACAAGCTCAAAGTATAAAGTTTAGAGAGAGAAGCTTAGAGAAAATATAAACTCTATATTGAAAGGATTTAAGTTATGAAATGTACAAGGGAGGGGTGGCCTATTTATAGGCTAAACCTCCTCAAATAAATGTCTAGATACATTGAACACTTAGTCCTTAAGTTACTTAACTCATAAGTAAACACTAGGTGGCACCCCTAGGTGGCAAACTTAGGTGGATGGATAAGCATTATCCTTTAAGTTTCTTTGCCACTAAGTTTACTTAACTCCGAAGTATACTTAGCCACTAAGCAACGTGCATCCCACTTGAGTCACCAAGCAAGCGGGTCGTGACAGTAAGGTGTGAAGTCGAGGTGAGAAGAAAAATAATTTAAAAGTTGAACAGAATAGTCAAATATACTTTGATTTTGCTCAAATTTAGCGTAGTGAATCTTGGTAACTTATTCTACAACTCTATTAGTTTTGATGTCCCACTTATTCTTTCATAGTACTGTTTTTTGGATAGGATGATAGTATATTAATAACCAAGAGTATTGATCTCTTGATGATTTATTAGTAGTTCGTGAGGCTCTATATTGTATTAGTGAGAACTTTAATAGGTTTTTTCCTGTTTTGGCTTTATCATGTGAAAATTCTGTAGTGTAGTTCTAATAGCCATGCATTTTGAAATAAAGAATCACCACTTCTTAAAGCTTTCCATTTAAAACTTGTAAAATTTTCTCATGCCACTTCGTTATCTTCAAAAATACCATTCCTTTTTTTTTTTGTAAGATTTAGTTGTCTTCACTTGTTCTATTCCCAACCACCACCCCCACAACAACTATCATTGTTCTTAAAACACAGTTTTAAATGTTCATATTGAAAGTTCAAAAAAGAATTAAAACTAGAAAAATAAAAAAAAACATTGATTACAAATAATTAAACTATTGATATGCTATAGCTAAATAATAGAAATAGCTGATAAGATTATAATAACTAACAATAATTTAAAGGAAAAGAAAACAATATATTAATTTTTTAACTTTGAAAATAATAAAATATAACTTGAATTAAAAAAAAAAAAAAAAAAAAGCAATTAAAAACTTACAATTTTAATTATGTTGCTGGTAACCCGATCAATCTCAATGCAAAGCTTCTTACTGCATTAAACTATCTTTCCGTTTTAAGTTTTTTTTTTTTTTTTTAACTTTATCGTACTATGGTTTAAATAAGCAAATAAGAATCAAAGTCATGACATAAAAATGAGTGTCAAAAGCATCAATAAAGGATAAGAAATTAAAAGTATTTATTATAATTGAACGTAGGAATGAATTTACGATAAAAAAAATTTGGTAAAGATTCATATAATTTCCAGGAGATTGAGCTGTGGTCCATTATATATAAATTTATTAAGAAAATTCAAACCAGGTAAACGAGTTCAAACAATGCCGACTGTGACAGCAAAATAAAACATATGGCACAAAACAATATAAATTCAGCAATTGCAGCAAGTGCACTTGTTGTAAACAGAAACATAATAAAATCATACTCTGCGTTTGTAAATTCCTGGTAGAAAAGGATTTCCATAGCAGAAAAATAAAACGAAAATACCATCAAACATGTCGATGCATTAATGACAACGGAAAATGGGAGGCCAGTTATGAGAATCGAAAGTGAGAGTGAGCACAAAGACGTAAAAAAAGCAAAAAAATTGAGTAGCAAAAACATTATTCGGATGAAAGGCCTCGTCACTATAGCAGAATCTACCCATTGTTTTGATGGCCCTTTACGAAAGATGGTGGTGGTGGTGGTGTTACTGATAGCAGTACTGTTGTTGGCAGGCTGCAGATTGCCGACACCTTTGGATACACCTTGGTATAATTCTCTGGGGGGGCTCGGTGCAGTTTCATAGGTAGCTGTGGTCATCAATAGAGCCACCACAAGTATTACGTTTCGGACTTTAAGAGGAATTGTTTTTATGATTTGGTCACGAAGCCCTAATCTTTTCAGAATGCTTTCGCCAAATGATAAGTCACCACGAAAGTAGTCGACAAGCGATTTTGGAGGTTTACGCTGAGGATGGAGTTGAGATGCTCTTTTAGCTTTAGCGCCACGTAGAATTTCCCCAACCTTTGGATTCAGCGAATCTTGGCGATCGTAGAAGATGTCCAGAGCTGTCAAACCTCTACTGTTCTTCTTATTTACTCCCATATATTTGATCAACAGCTTCACCGCCTTTGTTATTAGGGAGATCAGGACAACTTAAAAACTTATACATGTAAAGAAAATGAGAAGAAAAATAGATTTATATATATTCATGAATCCATCCTACCTAAATTTAATTTGCAAAAAGGATCATTCGCGCAGTTAAAGAGTTATGGACTGGAGTGCTTACCTCAGGTTGATTTTCAGATATTGCGGTATGCAACGCATTGTTGCCATCTTCGTCCTCCCAGTACAGGATTCCTTCTTCGTCGAAGCGTCGAAGCCATCCTAACAACACTTTAAAAGCTCTAAACTTCCGTTTTTGAGGGCCACATGGACGGCACTTTCCCATTTAACTGTGGGATCTCGGGTAGATGATGGACAGACATACGAAAAGTCAGCCAAATTGGATTCATTGTCGATTTGAGCTGCGTAGTGCGTAGTGCAAAGGAGTAATCCACCCCTTTGCTCTAACACGAACAAGCTGACTGTCATAATTTATCAACCATCTTACAACTTCCTGGTACTTCCCCTCCAAATCCAAATCAGGAGGACTACGCCCTTCCTGCAGCTTCTTCCCCTCCAAAGCCAAATGAAGAGGGCTACGGCCAAGATGGTCTTGTTTCGAAGCAAATGATGGCTTTAAGTTCACTATTTCCAACATGAAATGGACCTTTCCCCAGCTTGCAGCTGTGTGCAAGGGAGTAGTCACAAATGGTATTTCATCAATACGCTCCAAAACATATGGATCCTCCGCAAGTATTGAAAATAATGCATCCACATTTCCTTCGGCGGCAGAATTATGCAGCCTTTGCAACCTCTCATCTTCCATGCTGTAGGTGGCTATTTTACTATTTTGCTTCAGATTATGGGAGTTGACGTTGCAATTTTTTAGTACCAGAATGAGGAAAACATTGTTCATATTTATAGAAAACTTAGTCCTCACTCAAATCAATTTTACAGTATATTAATTTATGTGTGTCATATTCAATTAAACATCTACTAATTATATTAATTATAAAAATAAAAGTGAGAAAAAAATTTTAGACGTATATAATAAACAATAGAAAATGAATGTAAGGATCCAACAAAAATTACTTTGGCCACTAAAAATAATTATTGTTCCCCACCGGTTTTGAACAACAGGGAACACTTAATCTCGTCAGCACCCATAATTTATTAAATAATTAGCAGCCATGATTTTTAAAAGGTATGACAAAACCTTAAAAGAGTTTAGTCCAATAATTGAATAATAATATTACATATCCAAACGTTGCATATAAACTCAAGGGGTGCGTTTGACTCCCTATTTCTACCCATATTCTCAATCCTATTCTCCAAATATTTTTTGGCATATTATTCCATAAATATTACTATATTTTTTTAATTACTTTTAGACCCCTTAAGTTTATTAATTTCATTAAATATCCCAAGAAAAAAGTTTAAAAATTAATAAAAACACCCCCATCAACCCATACTTGCAAGATTCCGGCAACCATAGTCGATGGTAGCCGAAATCTGTATAACGGCCTACACCACGATCAGAACTTGCCGGTAGTTCACCGATCTGGCCGTCGTTGACGGTCAACGATAGCCAAATCTTGGTCATCATTGACCGAAAACGACAGCCATGTTGACTGCCAAAGATGGTCTTCTTTTGCCTTTTCCAACCATCGACAGCCATATCTGGCCGTTTTTAGCCAAATCCATGGTGAATCTGGCCGAAAAAGACCATACCAACGCGTTATGACACAAATCTGACCAGTCTGTGTCGTAACACAATTTTTCAGTCAGATTTCGTGGTGGTGGTCGGAATCTGGCACTATAGGTGGTAGGGGTGTTCTTGTCATTTTATATATTGGGGTGTTTAATTAAATTAGCAAACATAAGGGTTTTTTTATAAATTTTTAAATTTTACCTCGTAATACTCCCCTATTCAACTACCCAATATTATTCCCAAAATCCTATCCAAAATAATAAACCAAACGCACCCAAGGTTTTTTATTACTTTTTCTTCAAAACCACTGTTTACATTACATTTTTAATTACTCAAGATACAAATAATTTTCATTTGAATAATGATTGGTTGATAAACATCTATCATACATTTTTCTCATAAATGCTGATGTGGCAGTTCGCAATTGATCAATTCGTATTTGATCAGACAGAACCCATTATAAACTAACAAATTACGAGCTAATACGTCACATTTATAAGAGAAAGTGAGAAGGGTTTGTTAGTGTAATATTGCTATTTTTCAAGATACAAATAATTTTCATTTGAAGTAATGCTTATTTAGTAATTTTCACTATCTTTACCTAGCATCTTACAGAAGCTTAAAACATGTTAAATTTCATTTCTTATGGACTATATTTACTTGGTCTTTGAATTTTGCATTAAAAAGGGAGCTTTCATCTTGAGACCAACTGAAGCCATCTTGTAATGCTTAATAAAGATTGGAATTCCATGTAGTTTCGTTGTATATATACTCAAACAGCAGTTTACAAAAGTGAACCAAACCTTCTGTGAATACTAGGAGAGATGTTCTAACCCAATTTTTTTTTCCCTCTTTTCTTCTAATAAATATATACATGTTTCTCATCAATAGTTCAGTGAACCCAGTGTACAGATAGAAACAAATATTACACCTAACTTTTGACACTATAAAGAAATTGTTAGTGTATGCCCTAGGAACCAATCGTGTCATCGGTTCCGAGACATTATGTTTTGTATATATATGTGAATGTATATAGTTTNGTGGTTGTTTTTGTTTAAGGCTTATGCTAAGCTTAAGGTTGTCATTCCTGCAGTGACACCTACAATTAAGGCAACAGATGATTTGAACTTTTGGGGTTTTGGTTTTGTTCGATGAGAGACACAGTGAGGGCTTCTCCAGATGGAAGAAGAATAGAGAAGGAAAATATTGATATATAGCGAGCTCGGAGAGGCAGGGAACAGCTACGACAGTGGTATTCTAGAATTTTTATCGCTGAATGTAGTAATTAATAAACATAATAATATAAAAAAAATTAGAGATGCCATAATTAAATTCATTAGATTGTGATATAATTCACCATGGTGTTTCAGATTTTCTGTCTTTCTTTATATATATAATATTTACAAACTCTTTTATACAAACTAATATACCTTGAAATAAATAGATAAATGCATGTATAAAGTTTATTTATCAAATACTCAATAAATTAGATAAAGGATGTGTCAATTAAAAGAATAATGTCACACCAATTTGTATGGACTAATTTGTATATATAGTATATTAAAAAAAAATAAACAAAATCTATAATACAACAGACATATCACGTCAATAGATACATGAATAATAATTTTTCATTTTAATTATATTATAATTAGTAATTACATTAACCCAAAACCCTAAAAATAAATGCATTGACGTGTTGTGTAGAAGATGCGATATCCTTATAATAATATTCTAAGATTTTTTCTCATGAAACAAGAAATTCCTATAATGGTCGTACGTAGATACAATTACCTACTAGTGCATGTGATTAGTCATGACAAAACGGACAGGTGGGCCAGGTTAGGGTTGGGTCCAAACGGCTACAGGCCCAAAAGGGGTCCAAAATATTTGACTCGGATCCTACCCTATGCAGGTACAGGTGAACTCGCAGGTACTCGTTTTTTTTCTCTCTCTCAAATTTTCAATTTTTTGCAGTTACACCTCCAAAATTCCTGCAGTTTTCATTTTTTACAATTACTCCCCCANTAGGGAGGGTTGAGGCGGGTCGTGTCACTAACATCCTCCCTTAAGCTAAAACTTGTGATAAGTCTCAACATCCTCTCTTTAATCAGACCTGTTGTCTTGAACCAGTTCTGAACAACCATAATCTTCCATTCTAAAAGTTATCTAGTAGCAGCTTTCTCAACGTTCATCTGGCAGCAGCTTTCTCGATCAAGTAACCATGAAAATTCACGCTGAGACATTCTCGAAGTTCATCTAGCAGCAACTCTTCAAAAAATTCATCAAGCAATTTGAGGAGTTGAGGATTTTTTGGAATCCCAAGTTGATAGAAATGTGGCATGCTCAACCTCCAGTCCAAAGCTTCAGTAAACTTCAAAAATTAGTTGTGGGTTGCTGCGACATGTTAAATATTGAAGAACCTCTTCAATCCCTCCGTTCTGAAAAGGCTGGTGAAACGCAGAACACTTGAACTATGGTATTGCTCGACCATACCAGAAATAGTTACAATCAAAGAAGACAGAGAGAATCGTGTTACCTTGTTTGTACATTATGGAACTTGGAGATCTACCCGAGCTCACCTGTTTTAGCTCAGGGTCCTATACTATTGAATTTCCAGTTAGCTTTGGTTGTGTAGCTTAACCGCAAGAGATGCAGCTCCTTGGATGAGTAACCTCAATGCCACGCTGCAACATATATTTAAAAAACATAAATCATGTTTAACTATCACCAATGTTTAGTCAATATTTACTCTTGTTTTGTTACAATTATTGACTACTGAATTTGCTAATGCTTTGTAGAAGAAGGCTGGCATCGGGCAATATATGGATGTTCGTGTTCTTATTACTTCCAGTTTCCGAGCAGGGAAGACGGAACTTCTTGGCTATGAAAGACTTGGGATGTTATAAATACTATTAGAACAATATTTGGATGTAAAACATTTTTTTTTCTTTTTCTGGATTTATGCATAATTTGTAAAATCTTGATGGTATCTCAGATTCTGTAACAGATGCATGATTGTTTTATTAGGACGGACCCTTACCATACTCACAACATTGTATGCAAAATTGGGAAGGAAAACTCAGGGGAAAATAGAGCATGGAATGGCAGCACAAACAGAGGAGAAAAAAGCAAACAAGCTGAAGAGGAAACAAGTATGTGTAATCAAACCACATTTTCATGGAAACTTAAATTAATCTTGAACAAAATAAAAGGAAGAGTTTACTTATCTTATCGGTTAGAGTGCCATACAAATGCATAAATTTCAATAGTGCCTGGTTAATTCAATTGGATCTATATCTAACTAGGTTTCATTTTCGGTCTAGGATTCTAAGGTAAGCTATACAACCCAGCGAGATATGAACATGAGCGAAGTTACCATCTTAAGTTTTATCTTAAAATTTCTTATAAATAGCTTTGTCATGTAGAAATTAGATTTTTTTTTTTTTTTTTTTTTTTTTTTTTTTTTTTTTTTTTTGGCAAGGAGATGTGTCAAATTAATTAATAAGGAAATGGCAAAGATTAAGCAGCAAGACGTGGAACAGCCGGGAGAATTACCTGAAAATACATCAACTGAGACTTGATTGTTACTCTCATATAAATCATACTCACTATCATAAAGATTTTTTCAATAT